ATCCATCTGAGTCGTCTTTGAATTCTTTTGGCTTCTTGAATGTTTTTCTTGATTTCCCATCTCTCCTACCGCTCGAGTTAGTGTTCCTCGTTGCGAAGGCCTCTAGAGTCCTGTTCATCATCTCCCAAGTGTTTGCCCATGTCATAGCATCCGGACCTGCGTTGCTGTTAGCTGTTGAGTCCCCCGGACCAGTCGTTGTACTTGACATTCCATTCTTCATGATTGTTTTAGCAGCTGTTGGTGCTATGCCCACCGTATCCCGGGTTAAGGGCAACGGTGTCGATTGCCGTTTGTTCCTTTGTGGTTCCACAAAGTCAACTCTGGTGCCTTGCGTGCGATCCGCTGCCGGTCTTTCTTGTGAGGTAGAATTACTCAAGATTGCATCCAATTTCGCCTGTATTGCACACGAACTCTCGGCCTGATTTTTGCTCATTGTGTCCATTCTCTTTTCCAGGCTACCTAATTGGCTGTTGACATCATCATATCGGTTTTTTAACTGTTGCAAATCTTTTTTGATGTTCTTATCTCGTTCTTCATTGGTAGTTTCTACATTATCTGACATCTCCTTGAGTCTCTCTTCTGTTGCCTTGGCCAGGTTAAAATAACTATCCAGATACTCGTTTTTGTTGTATCTTAATTCTTTTCTTATCACTTCTCTGTCCTCTTCGCTGTGCTTCAGCTTTTTGTCGATCTGATTCAGTTTCGCCATCAAGTCACCTAGCTCAAGAGTAGCCTCTTCATGGTCAGCCGTCGGTCTTTCTTCGGCCGTCGCTTCTGCTCTAGTTTGTTCCTCACTCGGATTGGCTTCTTTCGTCTTCGTGCTCACTGTTCCAAATGTCCGTGCTCTTTCAGCTTTTGGTTCTTCAGTCACGTTCTCTTTCGTTTTTATTCCGACCATCATCGCCAACCTTTCTGTAAAAGATGTGTTTTTTACTTGAGAGTCTTCTTTCACCGTTTCTTCGGTGTTGCCTATTGCATCTTCCACGTTGTCTATTGGTGAGAATTCTATGGGTTTCGAGTTTGGTTCTTCTGTATTGGGCATTGGAGTTGACTCCGTCGCTATTTTCCTTGTTTCATCAACACTTTGATCAGGTGTCTCTAGATCAATCTCGATGGTGGGTTCTACTCGTTCCCCTTCCATGCCCTCTCTTGCTCTCTCCGTTGTACTCCTTGTGCTGACCATATTAACTGAAAAGCTCTTCTTTGTTATCTTCGGACCCATTGATGTTGTTTTGCGTAGCGACGAATTATACTTTGCTTCGGTAGGTCTTTTTTCAGCTACCGGTACCCTGCTCCGCCTCATTATTTCTATTTACAATTGCTCTTATTTACAATTTTACTATATACACAATCCTAATCTAAGAATAAAATCTTTCGAGAAAAAAAAATTTCTTAAAAAAAAAATATACAACGTGGTGAAAACCTTGTTTCAGTTCTCTTTATTAACTTTTCGAGAAACTTTCCTTATTTGTGGTCTCAACCGTACCTGGTTCCAATTAGTCTTGTTCTATCTTAATTCTGTCTTAAAACACTTCTTGTAATTTTACTTCAATTTTTATACTGTCCCAAGACTTCCAATTGCCGTCCCTACTCTTCTTTGTACCGTCCCAGGCTTCTTTCTCCTGTCCCAAGACTGTTCGGTACCGTCCCAGTACTTTCCGGCAGTGTCCCAAGACTCTTGTCCAAGACTACTGTCCCAAGGCCAGTGTCCCAAGACTACTGTCCCAAGACTAGTGTCCCAAGACTAGTGTCCCAAGACTACTGTCCCAAGACTAGTGTCCCAAGACTAGTGTCCCAAGACTACTGTCCCAAGACTAGTGTCCCAAGACTACTGTCCCAAGACTCCCGTCCCAAGACCCTGTCCCAAGACCCTTGTCCCAAGACCCTTGTCCCAAGACCCTGTCCCAAGACCCTGTCCCAAGACCCTGTCCCAAGACCCTTGTCCCAAGACCTTGTCCCAAGACCTTGTCCCAAGACCCTGTCCCAAGACCTTGTCCCAAGACCCTGTCCCAAGACCTTGTCCCAAGACCCTGTCCCAAGACCCTGTCCCAAGACCCTTGTCCCAAGACCTTGTCCCAAGACCCCGTCCCAAGACCTTGTCCCAAGACCCTGTCCCAAGACCCTGTCCCAAGACCCTTGTCCCAAGACCTTGTCCCAAGACCTTGTCCCAAGACCCTGTCCCAAGACCCTTGTCCCAAGACCCTGTCCCAAGACCCTGTCCCAAGACCACTGTCCCAAGACTGTACTGTCCCAAGACTGTCCCCAGACTGCTCTGTCCTAAGACTTCTTCGGCACTGTCCCAAGACTGTTGACAAGTGTCTGGGTGGTGGGACTTCTTTCCTCTTCGTTATGGGGACTTATTGATTCGCCGTACCTTGTACCACCACTCAAGCTCTAGTAAAATTTTCCCAAAATCCTCTCTTAAAAGCCAAATGCTGACCCCCCTTTTTCTTATTTCTCTTTTTGGCTACCTCTATTTCAATGTTCCAAGTAACTTGAGACCAAAACCTGTGCGCAGGTATCTTGTGATCACCTGTTCGTACAAAATTTTAACACAAATCCTCACCAAAATGCAACAAAAATCTAAGCAAGAAAAAGTAATAAAAACAGAAAGATGAGCCCACCTAAAATTCAAAGGTGACAAATGTCTACCTTCTATCGAAAAAAATGTCTGGTACCTAATTGCCACGCGTTTCCTTCCCCCCTGCTAGCGATCTTATGGGGTATTACAAAAACTGTCTATGTCACTTCCCCCCTACCAATCCGACCAGGGTACCTTCCTTAACTCGAGTTCAAATTTCGATATCCACCTAATATTACCAACGCGTGTTAATGTCTAATGTAACTAAGTCAACGATGTCGACTAATTAGTTACTCTAATTTCCCTCCTTTTTACAATTTACAACCGCCAACCTCTAACTTAACCAGCCCCCCTTCTAACCTCCCCCCTTTTTAGCCCCCCTTCTTAAGCCTAAAATCACCTTAAGCGCCGGGTGCTAAACCTCTCAAGAGAAAACCGTAGACCTGTCTCCAGGCCTGCTCAAGTAAAAACGTTTCTCAAAACCGGGGGATATCGCTTATCCAATTTTACACTTATTTCCTATAATGTATTGTGAATTGTAACGATACCCGTTCTGCCCAACTTTAGAACTCGAGAACTGTCAAATCCTTCTTGGCTGCTTTCCCACTCGACTGATCACCTGTTCCAGCTCAGTCTCCTATTGGTTCAGTCTCCTACAGCTCAAGTTTTCCTGAACCAGTTTCCCACTCGGCCGGTCACCTGTTCCAGTCGAGTCTCCTATTGGTTCAGATCAAGTGCTCCTGAACAACCTTCCCACTCGGCTGGTCACCTCTTCCAGTCAAGTCTCCTTGTTGTCCAGCTAAGTTCCAAGCAATCTGAAAACCCTTGACAACGCCCCACACTCGGGCACTTTATTAAGGTTACTGGATTAAATTACTAGGTTGATCGAAACGATCGAACTTGTAAAACAGTATGGGTATACTATTTAATTAATATAAAGGTTTGATCCAACTAATCTGGTGTCAAAGTCACTGTCTTTTTTCGTTTTATGGTTTTTGTTCCTTTTTATCTTTTTGCTCGTGTTTTTGTCCCCCTAGTTGCCCCCCTTTACTCGGTTAGCTACGCCTCGTTCGGAAAGCGTACCAGGAAGTTTTCTCGAGTTTTCTTAAAAAGCTATCACGGTACAACCGGAAGGTTTGCACGTTCCCGTCGAACCGTACCGCCGGTACTCTAGAATGGGCATTCAGCCCGAAGTTGTCTCAAGTGGGTTCGACTCCGTAGTCTTGATGTCGTAAACACCCAGGAGCGCCATAAAAACACTATGTAACATTCGTCTACTGCAGTCACACATGAGGCTTAAGAAAAATAGGCCCTATAACCACTGGCTCAAGGGTCAGGGACACCATCTCTTGTGTTTTTCTACCTCAAGAACGGTCGGAGCCAGTTCGGTTCGTTTGTGACATGAGACTACTACCCGTTACAGCTTAAAGGCTACTACTAAAATATCCCCCCACTCTAGAATTAGAAACGTCCCCATACTTAGGTCTCTAGATACCCAAAATACATGAACGCCGTTAAGAACCGGGTTGGAACAATCTGTTAAGTTACTTTTTATTAGACAGTGGAACTTTGATCCATTTCAGATGGATCAACCTAAAACTCGCCTTACCTCAACATAACAATTATAAAACACACTCTAGAAATTTAAATTAGTACTCACATTGTAGCACACTCAAGAAGGGGAAGTACTTCAGTCGGTAATTAACTCAAGAATTAAATAATGTAACTAAATGAGTTTTAATGTTTATCAGTTTCAATAACGAGGACAAGTCTTAACTCTAGGATATAGTTTCTCGTGAACCATTGGGACACTCAAGTTGTTCACCTTTCCGTCGAAGGTTCACTCTGGTCCAGCTCAAATAATCGTTCTCTCGGAAATACTCTGTCCTCTATTTCAGATGGGACAGCTCTACTCTTGTTCACTATGATGGAAATTGCGAATAGCAATTTCCTACCGATTTCTCTGGCAACTTTCCCGCGTTTTTTACTCGAACGTTCTGACTTCTCTTTTCTGATTTTCAGTTATCGCGAGAAAATCGTGCATGACAGGTTCCGTTCGAAATTTTGAAAAATTAAATTTCATTCCAAAATCAAGTGTTTTTTTGCTTCTCTCAAGGTCAAACTTCCGAATATGACCGACTGGCCGTTTTTGACGTTTCTTAGAATTGTTACGTCATCAATTCGAATTTTTAAAATTTAGGAATTCCCAAATCCTTCGGCCTTCCCGATTTGTCCAATCGTTCGAACAACACTCTTATTCCTTCAAAATCGCCAATTCGGAAGGTTCACTGCTAAAATTTCGAATATGCTGAATCTGCATTTTGATCCATTCTGGTCGAATGTCACACTAAAAGTATAACTGGGGTCTATTAACTAGCTTATATGCACTATACAATTCTTTTATATAAAGGTGTTTTAGATTGGCATGGCTAATTTTTTTGTCATTGTTTTGTGTATGTTTTGTGGGTGCGTTACAAACAGTAGTGAATATTTGGTATCAAATTTCTGGTCTGATACTGTTAATTCTACAACTTGTGGGAAAACAAGACCTGGCCTCATTAAATATTCGGAAACCCTTATGGGTGGGGAATGCAATGTGTCATATGACAATGAAGGTCAAATACTAAAGAAAACCCTCTGTCAATCTATTGTTTTGTTGGTTGGACTTATTTGCACCAATGAAACTTCATCAGTAACTGATCCTGGGAATCAACTTGAAACAGGCAGTATGACAGTAAATGGTAATGAACTTGGAAATGCCTATTTGTATCAAGTAAAAAACATGTGATCAGAAAGGAAAATGTTTTGTTCAGAAGCTTGTGGAGATGGTGGGATTCCAAAATGTAGGAACGTTGGCCTCTTTCAAAAAGAAACAAGTTTTTCCATCAGTGAGAATTTTGACAAAATTCTTAGCAATTGCTCCGATGCATGTGCTAAGATGGGATCAGTGTGCTCAAATTTTGTCAGTTACTGTAGGATTGCTTACGGTGAGTTGATGCCATTGTTTCAAAAAATAAAACTAACCCTAAATGTAAATAATTGATTAACAGGCTTTTCCTGATGATTTAATTCTTGATTGCTTGGCAAGTAGTTTATCATTATCCGATAAATTTGTAGATTACTTCTAGTTTCAAAAATGGACTCTAATAAGCTGAAGTCACCGGAGTTGTATCAAATTGTCCAGTTTTCTAGTGATCCAGTTTTCTCTGAATGGTATAACTTTAAGAAAAAAGTGGCAAGCCTAAACATATCTTGAATTCAACGAGCTTTAGAGTGAAGGTTCCCTTGATTTTTGGTTCCCTTGATTTTTCACCCTTGGGACAAATTAACCGCTATTCGAATTTTTGTTTATATATAGAGGCAATTTTTCTAATTCGGTTTGGTAAAGTTTCAATTTTTTGGTTTTTCTTTTTTCGGCTGAATAGGTTTCGACCAGAGTGTTGTCATCGCCTTTACAATCCTTTTTTCGCGATATCTGCCTTTTTACATTTCGCGGATTTGCTTATTTAAGTGTACCGCTTACTCGTTTAATATTTTTTTTGCTAAATTTTTTATAGAAAGCTTAACAATTTTAAGAAAAACTGAGAAAAGTTTTGTGCGGTTTACGAACAGCGCAGCGCATATTATATGCCTGCTGTGGTGGCCAGTCAATAAGCAGAGTGGTCTAAGAGCAGAATGGGTCCAAGAGCAGAAAAATAGAAAAATATCAACTTCTTCAAGCTAATCGGTAAAATAATAATCAGAAATGTCAATAATAGCAAAGCAACGAATATTTTATGCTTTCAAATAACATGTCGGAAGGGCATCTTAAAATTAGTGTTGTCGTCTCGCTTTAAAAAAATTTTTGACAAAATTCACAAAAACTGTTATTTTTTACATTTTTTTCTCCGGCCGGAAGAGTCTGTTATCTTTGCTGAAACTGGCTACTCGAGTTTCAGTAGGATGACACTAATCATACAAAAAAGCCTATTGGAAATATTACTTGAAAAGAAAAATTTGAATTCTTGATTTCCGATTCAGAAAAACTTGATGCTCTATGAGGCTTGCCACGATTATCGATGCTCTTTTATACTGTGATGTCATCAATCATATTTGCCAAAATCAAAGCTTTTTGTTGGTGGAAGAGGAAAAAATGATTTTTTTAAAAAATTTTGTTATAAGTTAAAATATAAATTTTAGATATTTGAAGACAAGAGGCTTCACTAATAGCTTGTTTTTGAGAGTAAAATGAGAAAAAAAAAGATTTCGACAAAAATTCTACGGAAAAACTGAGCAAAATATCTTGGAGCTCAATTACCCGCACCTTACAGAAATCGATTAACATAATTTTCAACAGAGAGGCAAACACAAGCGAAAAAACACAAATAAGTAGCTTTTAAACGGAGGCGGAGCAATAAGCAGAATGGTCTAAGAGCACAATGGGTCCAAGAGCAGAAAAACAGAAAAATGTTGACTTATATTGGTTTATACGGGCTAATTGATAAAACATTATTAGAATCGTCAACAATTACCAAGAAAACGAATAAAGTATGCATGAATTTACTAATTAAATTTTTTGATTACTTTTTTAAAAAAATTCTTGATCAAATTAATCTAATTTACAGACTAACTAATAAAAACTGAAGTTTTTCTGTTTTTCTGCTCTTGGATCTATTCTGCACTTGGACCATCCTGCTTATTGCTCCGCCTCCGCCTGCTTATTGCTCCGCCTCCGCCTGCTGTTTTTACCCAGACAACTCGAGCGATAAAATCACGCAAAAAATTATGTTCATGATGTGGAAACCTTGAGTTGGAGTTTTGAAAAATAACCTGCGATCATTTTCGGTAAACTTTTGGGGATTATTTGAAAACTCAAACCGCTTTTCCGCTTTTGTTATGGCTTTGGAATTTTCGGGATCGCTTTTGCTTATACTACTCGATTGGCCCCTTTTGTTACACCTTTTGCTTCAAGCAGGACAGTACTCTGGTTTTGAACATTATTTTGTGTGTGTGTGTGTGTGTGTGTGTTATGAGGGTGAGAAAAATTTACTTACTTTTTATTTGTCTTAATTTTGTTTACACTTGCGATAAGCAAGGGTTTTGCAACCGGGTATTAGACTTTTTTCCCTTAAACAACTTAGTCCACAAAATTCGTACAAGAATTTGTTCGCAAGTGTTTTACTGCAGGTAAATGTAGTATTTGCGTATTAGGTATGGGCCTTGTGTGCCTGTTATGAATTATTATAATTTTTTTTCGGCACTTGAGTGTCGGCTTTATTTCCGTCGGCTCATTTTCCTAATGATTTTTTTAAAATACTTTTTGTTGGTTTTTCTAAGAATGGTTGAAATGTTAATAAATGTTTTGGACACGTCTAAATCTATTCCCAGAACCTTCCTAATACCAGTGAAAATTTTAAAAATGAAAAACAAAAATCAAATCAATTTTTTCCTGTTGTTTTTAGTTTGCACAATAACTTTGGTTTTAACTTTTTATGCTTTTGTTTGTTCAGTCAGCTGTGTTTATCAAGTTTTTTTTGGTTTAGGTTATTGAGTTTGTTTTTTTTTTCGCATTTTTTTTCATCAATTCAAAATATGTTCTCATTGCTTTTTAGCTCAAATTGTTTTGACAAGTAGCTGTTACAATTGAAAATCGAACGAGAACCAAGCAAGCCTGATTTTCCAGCAACTAAGAATCAATTAAGTTCAAAATTTTTGATAATTCAAACTAAAATTGCTAGTCGAGTTCATCGTTTTGCAAAGTCAATTTGAGTTGCTGTCTGCTAATTTTTTGTTCTCCTGTTTTGCGTAGTTTCATTGTGTTAGGACAGTAAAAATAGTACCGAGCAATCTTGAAGTGCTGTCAAATCAGAACTTATTATCATCAAAATTTTCCATAATTTTATTTGGAATTGCTTGTCGCATTTATCATTTTTCCTTTTTTGATCGCTAATTAAAATTTTTCTCACTCTCATCTTTCTTAAGAATACTCCAATGGCATATCTTTTGCTTTAATTTTGAGTAACTTTTTTAAAAATTATTTTGGTAAACCGTTTTTTTTTTTTCTGTCAACGTGTTCTTGTCCGCTCGGATTTTCTTTTTTTTTGTGGAAAAATCGGCGTTTTTTTGGCTTCATAGCTTTTCAAAATTTTAGATTTTCCCGTAAACTGTGTCTAGTTCTAGTTCTTATGTTATTTTCTGTTTCATTCGTTTTTTATCAATTTTTGTTGAACTAATAAAAATAAGTTTTAAGTTTTTGAATTATTGTCGAATTGGTTTTCAAAAGTTTTTTCGAATTATCTTTTTTTTTTTACAAATGTTCTATTTTTTTTGAATCTTTTTTCATTTTGTTTCATTTGACGCACGAATAGGGTTTTCGTGTGCGTGTTTTGAGAGTGTGGGGACTAATGAGGTCTTGCTGAACTTTTCGGCTCAAAGGTTTTCAGCTAAGTTTTTTTTTGGCTTTGATACAGCCTGGTAAATTTCCTTTCGATGTAATGTTTTATTCTATTGTCCTGGCACGTTTTCGTTTTCAAACTAACCTTATTCATTTTGATAGATGTAGTATTTTCAACATTTTCGATTTTTATTTTCTGTTTTGTATCGGTGATGCGAATCTCAGCTCCGCCTATGTGTTACAATTTTCCGCTCATCTGTCGGCTATGTTTGGCAATGGGTTCAGACAGCCTTATTCTCAAGGGATGGTATAAGAAAAAATCAATTGATGAAAGATGAGTCCACGTCGAATAGGTTTCTTTTAACAAGTACAATGCTCAGAGTTTTTATAAGCTAATCAACTTCCTGCATAGCTGGGAATCACTGTTTTTTAAATGCATATATTGGTGGGATGTAAAATTCCAAATTTTCAAGCGAGTGTAGAGATTGTCAGAAAAATTTTCTGTCCCATCTCTGTCCTATTTGCGAAAGCAAGTGTTTTAGATCATGCTACCTATTTTCGCTCTGAAATTTTTCTTAATTTTCGGATGTGTATCGTATGGATTTTTAAAGATGTTGTATATACTCGTTTACTGTGGTAATTTTATTTTTTATTTTTACTTCTTTTTTCAGTGCAAATCGCACATTTGTTTTACTTATAGTTTTTTCACTTATAGTTTTTTACTTATAGTTTTACGTATAGAAATGACTCAGGCAACTAAGCGGACAAAAAATAAGCACCAGTCAAATTCAAGCGCAAAATTTTCAGGGTGTTTTTTTTCGCTGGTTTGTTTGGCTTATGTTTTATTGAGTAAGTGACATAGTTAAGCGTTCTTTCAAAGGATAAATAGATATTTAAATTGTTTCCGGAGGGGGAGCGCAAAATTTTAGATTTTCAGACCTTTCAAAAGTTTTTCAATTGAAAGCAATTTTGCTCAGAGATAGTCTAACCTACTTTTGCCGGCTTAGTTGCCGATAAATTTTGTGTCTGAATTTTTATTAAATGCCAGTTATGGTGTTTTGTCAAATTGAACATCATTCCAAACAATTTTCTGAAAATTTTGTAGTTTTTTCGAAATGTTCTAATTTGTTTTGGACGTAGTGGCTTTTGCTTCATTTCCTGTCTGCTAGCTTGCAATGCTGTATGTGTGGTATCGCAAGTGGTGCGAAGCTCTGCTTCGCCTCTGTGTTTAGAAATTTCAATGTAGCGTTAGAAATTGCATAGCATCTGTTTTCTGCTTAATTTGTGGCTAGTGTTTGGCGCCTATTAAGCTTCCGTGGCTGAGTGGTTAGTGTGTGAGTTGCTTAATCTCTAGGTCACAGGTTCGAATCTCAGATGTTGCTGAATTTTTAAACTAATTCGAGGCTTATTTCTAATTTTTGTTCTTGCTCTTCATAGAGCTGCGTTTTGTCGTGTTTCGCCTCTGTGTGAAACATGCCACAGAGCTGCTTCGCTTCTGTAACTATGTATATCTAATGATGTTATAATATTTTTATGAACTGATAGAAAAGAAAACATAAAACGTTTGACATACACTTGTGTATTGAAATTAATTTCGATGTGCAAGTAAAGTGT